TATCTGCCTCCTGTCATAGAATCATAGAATCATTGAGGTTGGAAAAGACCTCTAAGATCATCGAGTCCAACCAGCAACCCAACACCACCATGCCCACTAAACCATGTCCCTAAGCGCCTCATCTACTCGTCTTTTAAATACCTCCAGGGATAGGGACTCAACCACTTCCCTGGGCAGCCTGTTCCAATGTTTAACCACTCTTTCAGTAAAGAAATTTTTCCTTACATCCAATCTAAACCTCCCCTGGTGCAACTTGAGGCCATTTCCTCTCGTCCTGCTCTCCTTTCCACCAACCTGCCTCTGAAATCCACCAGGAGGTGAAAACCACCACCAAAAACCTTCTTGCCTTGCATCTCCTCCCCCATTGCCTGTCCTTCCTAGATCAACAGCTTTGCTGGAGCAAAAGTCCTACGAGTGTCCTACAAGGCAGGCAGCTTCTTGTAAGAGGGGAGAGAAACAGCTCTGGCTCTGCCTGGAGACCCAAAATTCCCCATGTTTATCCAGCAACCCCAGCACTTGCAGACGCTCCTGGGCTTTCAAGGGTCACAGCCCAGTAGTAGCACAGGTGCTTAAGGGAAAAGCCATTCCTTGTAACTCTAAGGAGACTGGATCAACTTCTATGAATCCTGGTTTGGATAACAAATATGCTTTCCTCTGCTTGGGGGAAAGGACACACAGCCTTGGAGATGCATGTTTTCCCCTCTCCTGCCACTGATGGGCATTGCCAGGATCCTCCCCATGGTGTTGAGCTACTTTGAGCTGGATGGATACAAGGATTTGAGGGGAGGAAGCCCTGCTTGTGCAAGGGGGGGCACGTATCTCATCTCCTCAAAGCACAGACCACTAAAATCCCTTCATACAGGGAAAGCTTGAAAGCTCAGAAATCCCAGCATCCTACTCAAACGGTTCCTTACAAGCATGTGTTGCTTTGGGGCATCAGTCATTTGGTTTGCCCCTTCTCTGGTACCCTTTTGTCAAGGTACCAGAGACTTCATTTCTCTTCACCTCAGCAAACCTAGAAAAAGTCTGCAGAGATGGGTCCTCCCGACTTTTTCCCCATGCTTCCAGTGAATAGGAGCCTTGTAGGAGCAGCTCACAAAATCCTGGAGCATTTTGACCAGAATGGCAGACTGATAATCCCTTCTGAATTAAAGCTAATCCCAATAGCACTCTCCAAGAAAAGATACTGCTGGACTGACCCTCCTCTATACAAGGACCAGTCAGTATCCTGCACACTCTATAAAAAAAAAATTAAAAGTAAATCAATCATTAAAGACATCACCTGCAATTTGCTCCCTGCCAAGCCTTACCCACACAGTTGCCAGCAATGGTCTGAAAATTTCTGGTCACCATTTTCAATACAAGAAGCATAAATTTTCAGTCCTAAACAGAATTAATTTTTTTGCTGATGCAGTGAACGTCTGGTTATGTGATACTTGCTGTCTGAGAAAGAGAGACAGGGGCTCCATCGCCCCAGGTTTTAGAGCAATTCACTCAAAAAGAATCAATGCTAATTAAATATAAAGACATCACCTGCAATTTGCTCCCTGCCAAGCCTTACCCACACAGTTGCCAGCAATGGTCTGAAAATTTCTGGTCACCATTTTCAATACAAGAAGCATAAATTTTCAGTCCTAAACAGAATTAATTTTTTTGCTGATGCAGTGAACGGCTGGTTATGTGATACTTGCTGTCTGAGAAAGAGACAGGGGCTCCATCGCCCCAGGTTTTAGAGCAATTCACTCAAAAAGAATCAATGCTAATTAAATATGAATGTTTCCAATGAAGTACTCACCAAGTAATAAGTAAAAGCGTATCTGTATTGTTAACAACGATAATGGTACCATATCTATTA